GTAACTTATCTGAGCCAAGTACTCTATTCTTGCGACGAGGGATACGAAATGACAGGTACTCGATGATTATAGTAATTATTATGATTATACGATCTAACGTAAAATCAATCTATTGTTTTGTTTTTCCATTTCATAGGTCGTGCAAGGCTAACGTGCGACATTGATGAAAGATGGAACGGACCACCACCGCGTTGCGAACCCATACATTGCGATCCACCCACAACGATTCCTCACAGTTTCGTTCAAATCGATGAAATCGATGAAACTGAAATGGCAGGCAAAATGAACGTTAACAGGAGTCTTTTCGTTGGTAGTATTGTCACTTATACATGCGAAAAAGGTTATAGATTGATCGGTTCACGGCAGATTCTCTGCTTACAAACTGGACTTTATGATCACGCTGCGCCATCTTGCATAGGTAATTTCAATTATTTATAATTATATTTTATTCCTTTTATCTTTAATTTTTTATTCGTATAATATTTTATAACAAACTACAACTATTCGCATTGTCCATCATTTTGTTATTCGTTTATGTTTGTATAGAAGAACCTCATACGACTACAGTAACGCTGCCTCCTCGAGCAACATCACGACCAGCAACGAGTAGCAGACCACGACCGTTCGTTACAACGAGGATTAGAACGACTACCGCAGTAACAAATATTCCAACGAAAGCAATTACGACTACAACGATGAAATCAACGATAAAATCAACGATCGTTCCACCAAAATCTCCGATTACTGGTGAACACATGGCGACTGTTAAAGAAACCGAACCGAAAAAGTCAAACGTTAACATACAAAGTGCTGTTTCTTCTCCATCATCAATTCTAAATGATCATAGCAAGGATCATCCACAAGACAACGAGATCGCTGGTAGTGGTGCTGATCACGTGCAAGCTGGCATTGGCACAGGTGTACCCGAACCCTCGGGACCTTTGCAAGTAGACACATCTAATCAACCGGCTAGTGCTCATCAAGCAAAATTAAATCTTGGTGCTGTCATTGCACTCGGAGTCTTCGGTGGTTTCGTCTTCCTTGCTGCAGTCATCACAACAGTAGTCATACTGATACGCAGGTAAGGATAAGTTATTCTAATGTCGAACTAGACGAACATACAAATATCACAAACAAGCAGTCTATGTCTTATTCTGCTACGATTACATTATTAACACTCTTTTATACATAAAATATCCGCTCTTTACCTATCTACTTCTGCCTACTGTATCGCCTGTACAGTATACAAGGTGTAACAAAATTACTGGAATGAATTTCTCATATTTAGAAAAGAAAAATACTTTATTTATAAATTATAAGACATTAGCGTTTGATTTTATTTTTAGTATAGTCCATTTTTTATTCCGATGTAAATTTTTAACAACCGAAAATGTTGAGATCTACCATTCAGATAATAAAATGGATGCATGTTCTCAGAATATGCAAATATAATTAGAATACACTCAGTAAATCAGAAATAAAATATATTTTCACGATAACATAATCAATTTTTCTCTTCTCTACAAATAAGGAACTCATTTTAAGAAGACCGCGTATTTTTGTTACACCATGTATTTCGATTTCTTTACTTTTCTATTTCTCCTCTTTTTAATCTTAAATTAAACGCGAAAACGCTATTCCTTTAAAAATAATTCATTAACCATTACGATCGAATCAAATCTTTTTGACAAATAATCGCGATTTCGCGTAAAAATGTCGCGTACTCTTCTTGTTTATCTATTAACGAATTCCTTTCCGACGCTGGTTCCTTTTCCTGAAAATCACACAATGATAGTAAAAATCGTAAATTATTTCTACAGAAAGTAGAACCGATTAGAGGTAGACATTGATTTCTGATCTGATCTTACATCAATATAATTTGATGTTAGAATAGTTAAGAAAATGATTTTCAAATAAACTCACGTTATAATTCAAGTCATTTACTAACTTCAATTTTCGAATTTACAATAGCAAAGTTAACAGAATATCGATTTTTTTTTAATTCTACACAGTCGCCACACCATACACTGTGCAAGCGGTAAGACCCAATACTCAATCGTTTCCAAGAAAACGAAAAGAGAAGTTTCACATTTTACTGCTTACACAGTGTATGGGTTCTGATGGTCTCCTACAACTGTGTAGAATTGAAAAAAAATTGGTGTCCTGTCAACTTGGTTTTTCCCATTGTTAGTAAATTGTCATAGTTAATTCGCCTTTGATTGTGAGATTAGAAAGAGATTTTTACTTTTAACTTGGACGTGAGTAAGTTCAAATAAAAAGTGTATAGAATTGAAAAAATGAAGCGCGCTTAGGTAGATAGAAACAGTTGAGATTCATTCAAGAGTTGAAATGTTTGCGTGGTTTAACGGTAATTAGCGGCAGTGGGAGCGTAAGAGGAAGGCGCCGCAGGGGGCTCGGTGGGGTTGGAGCGTTAAGGGGTGGCGGTAGCAGTGGCCTTGGAAGGGGCGAGGCAGGAATGCCCTCGCGTTGGTATACGCTACTGGCGCTGCCCTTCCCCGACCAGCACCTGGGGCGCCGCGACCTCATGGCACGCCGTGGTAGCGATCATCCTTACTCCTTCACCATCTCGGCAGCACACCGTGCCGGTTACTTCTCGAACCCCTCTATTTGAATTCTAAACGAGTACAAAACCACGAAAAGCTATACCCAACAAAAAATAAAAAAAAAAAAAAAAAAAGAAAAATGGAAAGGAAAAAAAAATCAAAGACAACAGCAACAACAATTACGACTAAGAAAAAGAGAGAAAAATAAAAACAGGAAAAAGGAAAGAAACTTATACGAATAAAAATAAAGCAACAGGACAAAGTTTACTTCTTCCCCACCCCTCCAACCGCAACCACCGCCCCACCACATCTCAACCATCATCATGTACCACCATCACAACACCACTGTACGCCAATCTCGCAAGTGATAGTCAAGGTAAACGAGCAAAGTTTCTACTGCGCACTACGTATAGTGGTAGCTCGTTTCACCGGCAGCCTAGCGGTGTCCTTTTTTATTTTTGTTTTTTTACAAGAAAGAAAGCTTCGTATTGTTACACGCGATTTTTTTTTTTGCACGCGTCCCTCCTCCGCGAGTGACCATTTATGCACCCTTATCCTGATTATATTATATTAACTTTTCCTTTATTTTTTTCCAAGATTAATAATAATAATAATAATCACTGTGCAATGCTTCTCGTCGATGCCTGTGGATAAAATTAAATGTTTGCTTTGATCTTCTTCATGCAAAATCGAAAAAATAATTCTAAATTTTACTTTTCGCTTGAGGTCGATTAATTGCCAACGATTGTTGATAATAATTGTTTCCTTATTGAAATATATAATTGTTCTTCGATTATATTTTATGGCAAAGTCGGCCTAGCGATCTTTCATCGCAGCATGCTTATTCTTCTGTTCATTGCATCGTCTACATTTTGTTGGTTGTTTATTGTGTGAATCACTTGAAAAATAATAATCCTCTAACTAAACGCTTTATAGAATAATTTCGATAAGATAATGATTGTTAGGAACAATGTCTTTATTTTACAAATATCTCATTCCTGTTTACGCAGGAATCGTGGTAGAAGCAGTAAACATTATCGCCACCGAGCATCGCCAGATTGTAATACCGTTGCTAGTTTTGATAGCAGTTCATCCGAAAGTCGAGGTGGATTAAATCGGTATTACAGGCAAGCATGGGAGAATCTACATGAAACCACTGGACATAAGATGAACCATCCTGCGTTACAGCGCAAGGAGACCCTGGATGAACCAGGTTATCGGGAAAATTATCGCGGCAACAATACCGAACGTGATGGTTCGGAATTAGTTGTCAGCGATGTCGCAGCTTATCCATCCAGCAAGCATGCTAGTGTTTCCGATAAGAAACGTCATCACCACCACCATCATCATCATCACAATAATTCAACACCCGAATGGAGACAATCGCAATCTCATCACAGATATTGAACATTACACGGGTGATTATATTTCCAATTTTAATTTCAATCTTTAAATCAAAGAAATTCATTGACATACTCGCTCGTAACAAGAAAAACGTGCGTACGCATATAGAATTGTTTATTATTTTGATAGATATACGTGAGACCTCTGCTATGAAGGATTTGATATTATTGCTCTGTTATCTTATGAATAATTTATAATTAATCGATCTGTTATACGTCATGCTGTACATACATATATGTAGAAGTATTTTAATATGCGATTACTATAAAAAGAATAAGAATTATGTTCATCTTGATCTTCGTGAAAGATCAGAATTTTTTTTAGCAGAATGCCAAAAAAGAAAGAAAAGAAAGTAATATATATATTTATTACGATCAAATCTTGGCATATATATATTTATCTATAGCAAAGTGTACCTTTAACTTTCTTCTAAACTTTCTCTCTCTCTCTCTCTCTCTCTCTCTCTTTCTTTCTTTCTTATTATACGTCTTCGTATAATAATATTATCTCGAATAGGTTTGTCGAGTTTTTCCGATAAGAATTTAAATCTGTCATGGGTACCTTGGCCTCGCCTTGATATTATTGATTACTTACAAAAAGAACAAAAATAAATAAGGGAAGGCCGATGTTATCCATTTCGGAATGAAACGTTTCTTTAATGACGGAAGCTATTTTGATATGTAAATTGGGTAGATAGAATACAGTTTGTACAGAACACAAACACCTCACAAAGTGACTTTTCTAATGACGAAACGTTCAGAATACATAATAGATAACAAATTTATCTTCGCGTTAATCTAAAATAGACGGTAACTATCGTTATAACTAATGTTGACTGAGATAAGATATTCATATAATTATTTTGTATACATATGTATTTATTTTGCCAAGTAATGAGTAAATTATTATAGTGCCATTTTGGGCAAATTACTTTTAATTTACCTAAATACGATATATATTTCGTGAAAATAATCTTATACCATTAGCTGTTAGTTGCTGTATTGTATCGATTACATTAAATAAAAACATCTATTTATGCATCATCTTTGAGATTCTATTTTACATCAACATTTTATTATTCAATGATATATGTAAATATAAAAAAAAAATATATTATATATCGTAACAAGCGGATACAAATGAAAGATTATATGACTTTGTTTGAAAATATATTGTTCAGACTTACTCCCTATAATCACATTTAAAATAATTACAATTAAAGTAAACTTAGCTTTTTAACCATTGACCAATTAATTCTCCAACTCGTGCTCTGGTTGCTTTTAACTCAGGCAGGTCATGTTCCGAGGGTGGATACATGTTGGCGCAATGCGCAGTACCTTTAATTAATATCAGTTAAAATATCTGCGAATTAAAAAGGCGAGTAAGTTTGCACATACCGTTGATAAAAATAGCGGTAGCCTCAGGACCTAATGATGTTGTAATACCTAGCGCATGCCACGGATCAACAGATCCATGTACAAATACTACATTGTTTACTTTTAACTGCAGTGCTCCATATAGAGTATTAGTTCGCTTTACTGCATTATTAAGTAAATCTAAGTTATATCTGAAAAAGAGTATGACAAGAATTAGTATAATAAATAATAATAATTATATTATATATTTTTACGGGTTATTAATATACGAACCTAGGACCAAAAATATCGATGCACTGTTGGATGAAATATTCGACCGGAAACGTGTCGCTAAATAAAGTTGGACGTGCGGTAGACGTCTGGAAAAATCCAAATTCCGTACAGGTTTGATAAACCCATTGCCGACCTAAAAATATTGAATTATAGTTTTACACGATAGTAGAGAGAATAATTTTTGTTAAATTACCTCCTTCCCCTGCTTCAGAACTCCACGTTACATTCTTTAACTCGTGAAGCATATTTTCATATCTAAAATCCAAACATTTTTCTTTGCTCGCATTTAGTATCAAATTATTTATATGAGCTAGTCTATCGATGGGTGCACCTATCGTTTCGTTTATAAGAATTTTACATGTATCGTCGACGGTCAAATTAGCCATTTTTGAATTGTTACGATTATCTTTATTGTATTGAACAATACCCGCAAAATTACTTGCTATAGTTTCGTATAAATTCGAAATATCTACGCGTTTTGTATATCCAGGATCTATCGGATCACACAGGCTGCCAAAAAAGAAACAAGTTGAAAATAAATATCTTGGAATACTATTTGCAATTATATTTATACTCACTTGAATTTTTTAACAAGACCTTGTTGACCTATCGGATGACGTAACATTATATGAAATTGTTTGTTAGCAGCTGCAATCACATCCACGCATGATTTAGAATATTCTTTAAGAGAATTTTCGACGATAACGTAGTACTCTGTAAAATATATTTTCTCAATTTAGATATAATAATATATTTGATTGTAATATTTGTAATACAAAATCTATTAATGGATCTATCAAAATTTAGTTGGTCAATAAATAGTTTCAGAATTTTATATTTAAATAGCATTCATATTTTTTACTAACAATAAATATTTTAATATTATATACATACTTTATTGACCAACCCAACATGTAAAATATATAAAATACTAAACGACCTAGAAAATTATATACGTTATATCTATTGGATTATTGATATCATACTAACGTTGAAAGTCAATTTGTGCAAGAAGAGGACCACTGCTTGAAACAGCCCCATGTACAAGATGAGGGTATTTAACTCGCATCCATGCAGCTAATGATCCAGGATATGAACCTCCAAAAACAATCCATTTTGTATTCTTAGTTACTTTATAAATATCATTTATATTTTGTATAAAATATGCTATATCTGCAAGCGCTTGTTCTGAACTTAAATAAACTAAGTTCTTCACACTCATATCTCTGAAAAGTATATTATTTATAAAATGATATATATTATATATAAATAAATTCTATAGATATTAAGACTATAGAATGTTAACTAACGCAGTTGGATGACTTTTTCCATAAAAGCGATGTTCAAGTTGAAAGCACATAGCTCCAAATTGTTTAGCATATTCGATCCATTGTCCTTCGACCATCCACTTGGCAGTCGCTGTTCCTTCGCCACCAATTAAAAGGAACATAGGGCCACCAGGCTTATAATATTCAGAATTTTGAAAATATCTCTGGAAAAGGAATGATGAATTAACTATTTGAGTTCAATATCTCATTAAAAAAAATCTTATTAAAAAAGCAACAGGATAGTCTTTGTTTGAGTTTATATTGAGAAAATCTAAGCAACGTTATTGTATTCTTCTGAATTATTAAAAACCTATATTTATACCTGCTTCCAAATACGTGCATCGGTTGGATTAAAGTGGTCAAGCATTTGGGTAAACCATTGTTCGTTAGGAAGCCTTTTATATTCTTTGCTTAAAAGCAATGTACCTAAATATCCATCTTTACTTCTGCCTCTTATAAAATTCCGCAGTGCTTCCGTAATATTTAAAAAGACTGCTATTAACAATAATGATGATAATAATCGCATTTTACTAGAAAAGAAGAAAATAATTGTTATAGAAAAGCAAATATGAAAATGCAATAACATGTATGCATATACAACTGTATCAATTATTTGTTTAATGATAATAATCATAAAAGTAAAATATTACTTTCTAAAAACGAACAAAATATATATATATAACTTATAATTTTATTTTTATATTTATAAAATAAGTTTGTACTAACAATAATTGGTTGTCCACAAAAAAAAAAAAAACAAATATTTCAGAGTTCAAAGTTAGGAACAATAGATAAGACAATTATACGAGTGTTAAAAAAAACACAGATTAATAATAATAGAAACTTTCTATTTATATCTTATTGTTTGTATGTGATAACTAATATGGTACATAGATATATGAAATATATAGTGTTGTTTATTATATGTTTTAAATTAAAAAATTAAGATAAGTACAACGTTATCGTAGTATATAACGGAAGAGTGATAAGAATTATTTCCACCACGATCGATAATTAAGTAAGAATATTTACTTATTTAATTTAATTTCGTTTATACAAGAACACGCACATAGATTTAATTTCACTGACAAATGTATTGACTTAGTAGCGAGAACTTTTAGAATTGCTTTGTAACTGTCACTTCAGAAATTTTGTGGTTTTTTTTCTTTTCGACAACGGTCTTCGCTGCGTCGGTAAAACAAAGATTACCGATCCGTCACAAAAATAATAATGTAATTTCATTCGTGAACAAGAGATAGCGTATCAAGATGGTGACGAACATTCCAACAGTTTAGGACAATTATAACAAAATACAACTTACAAATTCCAGAAGAAGATATTTAATATACATGATAAAAAAACGGAAGGAGGAGATACTCGTTTTGTTCAGGGTCTAAGATTAAAGGTAGAATATATTTGAAAAAGTTTCAGGAAACAAGAAATAAACTTTGATCTGTAAAAACAAGTTTTCCTAAGGAACTAATTGCTCCAGTTAGCAAGATAAAGGCCAGTCATATTTTGATTGTTCAACTAAAGTAGAAATAGTGAATACAATTTGCATATGTGATGAGCAACAGAACTTAGATAGCGTCCTATAAAAATACTTTTATTACAGTAATGATGAACGAAGTATATATATGATATATCAATAAATTTGGTAAACATAACTGAAGACAACTTTATGGTATTAACATCATTTTAATTGGACCTAATTTAACTGCAATAGAAATAATATATAAGTTTCTTTAATCATTTAAAACTTTAACTTCATAGTGTCATAATTCCTGTGACTCATCATTGGCTCATGTCAACTATTCATTGGAAGATATTTTATAATATTGTTGATAACATTTTTTATTTATATATGTATATAATTTAGAATACTTACATTAGGTGTTTCAAAAAATTAGGTTAGATTCCTAAAAATACAAATATTATACCAAATGTGAAGTATTTAATATTTTATTTGCATACTAAAGATTGTTAAGTCTATGGAGTTTTCACTTAAGTCTATTGATCTATTTTAAAATAAAAGAAAAATATATTATTTCAAAATATGCTTTTCATACTTTAATAATAAGATTAAACACACGTTAAATGAATGCAAACAAGTGTACGTTATCTACAATAAATACAGATGTAACGTGTGAGACGAAAATTAATGTTTTACATTAATAATAAAATCAAAAGTAATAAGCCAATCAACTGCGAGAATCGTAGAACCGCGAAAAATTAAATCTACTAATTGTAAGTATTTAGATAGCTACTGACAATTCGACTTATAATTAATTAAAAAAGTGAATATAATAGTCAAAATTTATATATTATTTTTTTTATATATTCTTATCATTTTTTAAAATTACTTTTTATAGTTACAACTATGATCAATTTTTTATTATTTTATAACACAATATAGAGTAAACAACGCATCAAATTATTTTCATGTTTTACTCACATTTTTAATAAGAATTGGAAATTTAAGAAAAGAATTATTATAAACATTCATCTTCAAATAATGTATTACAAACTTCTAAAGTTAATTTTATTCTTTAAATCTTTATTAATTCAGTTTTTATTTCAATGTCCAATCTAATATCACTTTATCTTAAGAGTGACAAATATTGTAACAGAGTGAACAGAAAAGATAAAATGTTTAATCAGTGTTGCCGACAAAGCCAATTGGATCGTTATAAATATCATTTATAACCCCACTTCCAGTTTAATCTGCAGTTAGGCGAACACGAGCAGAGTGATACAGTAGAACTTCGTTAAAGTATACATCAATATTTAGTATTTTTATGTTTAAGTATAAACGCGCTAGTATTATTGTATTATTAAAATTCAAATTATCAATGAAAGTTTGTAAATTTTTACATTAATTATTATTAGTTTATTATTTGTTTAAAATTTAATTGTTTTTAGCGTTTTGAACTATTCTTTTATTTTTATTTGTGGAATTTAAAAATCAATGGTTTAAAGTAATGTTAAAGAAGTTAATTTATAAAAGTGCAACTTTTTATTACAAGAAAATTGTAATATATGCAAATTTTTCTTTATTTAATGATGGTTGTTATTTTTAAATTATATAAAAGAAATTTATTTAATTTTAGATATTCATATTATAATATATAACCAAAAATGAAGTTCGCTGAACATCTATCTGCTCATATTACTCCTGAGTGGCGCAAGCAGTATATCAGTTATGAGGTAAATAATTCAACCAAAGCTATGTATTACTTGTTAAATTATTTTATTTGTTATTTATAGTTTACGTTGGATGTTATATGAATTTTATTATTATAGGAAATGAAATCGATGCTTTACACTGTAGTAGAGGAAGTACCATCTTCAGAAAGTGTAGAACCAGAAGTGATACAAAGGCACTTTGCTTCCTTCGACGAAATATTTTTTACATTTTGTGATCGTGAATTAAAAAAAATCAATACTTTCTATTCCGGTAAGTAGATTTTTTGTATGAAAAGATTTATAAGCAATAATAAAAATTTTATTATTGATGTAAATGATTATTCTTTATAGAAAAGTTAGCGGAAGCTACACGTAAATATGCTGCATTAGTAAACGAATTAAAAACAGCCTTAGAATTACAGCATGGCACTGGAAAAAATAAAGGAAAATCTAATATCAGACTGCATCTACCGACGAGAAAATTACGAGAATTGAAACTTGCATTTTCAGAGTTTTATCTTTCTCTCATACTTTTGCAAAACTATCAAAATCTTAATTATACTGGTTTTCGTAAAATTCTTAAAAAGCACGACAAGGTATTTAATGGAGTAATATCGTAATATATTTCTAATATTCGCTATAAAAGCTTCCTAAACATATATCAAAAATATCTATTAAGATAAGAAAAAGCCAAGCAACAATCATCACCTTATGTTCCTTCATGATTCCAACTATACATCCAAGTAATAATCCAAATACTATTTATATCATCCAAGAAAATATCATTAAATAAAATGTTTATGTACTTTATAACACTATTCTCGTTTGCAGTTATTGTCTGTGGAGAGTGGATCAAAATGGAGAGTAGAATGCGTAGAAATATCTCATTTCTATACTTCCAAAGATATAGACAAGCTTATACAAGAAACAGAGGCAACTGTAACAAATGATCTCGAAGGTGGAGATAGACAACGTGCTATGAAAAGACTTCGTGTACCACCTCTTGGAGAACATCAGAGCCCGTGGACTACTTTCAAAGTGGGATTATTTTCTGGAAGTTTTATAATTTTGTCTATTACTGTTGTTCTCTCAGGTATCATATACATTTAACTTCTCTATTTATTCTAATAATGTGAACCATAATTGGGATACATTATTTTTACTCCTTATAGGAATATTTCATGAAAGCGGAGAAAATTTAAAAATAGCCTTTCGTTTGTACAGAGGACCAATGCTTATCATTCAATTTTTATTTCTCATTGGCGTTAACGTTTACGGCTGGAGATCCTCTGGAGTAAATCATGTATTAATATTTGAATTAGATCCACGAAATCATCTATCCGAACAACATCTTATGGAGTTGTCGGCAGTCCTTGGAGTAGTATGGGCATTAAGTCTATTAAGTTTCCTTTATAGTGCTAGTCTTAGTATTCCACCCTACGTAAATCCCTTAGCTCTTGTCTGTCTTATGCTGATATTTTTTCTCAATCCATTAAGAATTTTCCATCATGAAGCACGCTTTTGGTTATTGAAAATCATCGTAAGTGATTGTTACAAATAGTGTCTCAATTAAATATCAGATTATTCTAAAACTGATTATTCTAATCGATCTATTTTATTGCAGGGTCGCGTTTTGGTGTCTCCATTCGCGTATGTTAATTTCGCAGATTTTTGGCTGGCTGATCAATTAAACAGTTTGACTACTGCTTTATTGGATTTCCAATTTTTAACATGTTTTTATATTACGAATGGTAATTGGTTCGAAGTAGGGAACACAAAGCAATGTACATCAGAATCTTTGATCATCAGACCCATTGTTAATTGTTTACCAGCTTGGTTTCGTTTTGCTCAATGCTTAAGAAGATATCGCGATTCTAAAGAAGCATTTCCGCATTTAGCAAATGCTGGGAAATATTCGACTACCTTTTTAGTTGTTATAGCTAATACTTTGTATAATTATCATCGAGGTGAGTTAAAACGGTTGATTTGTATAAATATTTATTTACATGAAATTAATCAAAAAATATCGTTCAATAAATTTATTGTGTTTATATTAGATGAATATGCTAATCAATGGGAGAATCCATGGTTATGGTCGTGGGTGACAAGTTGCATAGTTAATTCAGTATATTCTTATACTTGGGATTTAAAAATGGATTGGGGACTTTTGGATAGTAACGCCGGTGAAAACAGATTTTTAAGAGAAGAAGTTGTCTATTCTGCAGCGGTAAGTATTGCAATAATATAATTTATTATTATTGTTAATTGCTACTGTTATAATAATAAATTTTACAAATCCATTTCAGGGATGTTATTATTTTGCGATAATAGAAGATTTTATATTAAGATTTATATGGATTGCAAGTTTCATTTTAGTACAGTGCAAGTATATTTCCAACGACATGATGACATCTATTGTTGCACCTCTTGAAGTCTTTAGGTATGATTTTATATTATTTGTATATTTTAATTTATTAATAATCCATCATGTATGTATAACTTTTTAGGCGTTTTATTTGGAATTTCTTTCGTTTGGAGAATGAGCACTTAAACAATTGCGGTAAATTTCGTGCGGTACGGGACATTTCCATAGCACCGATCGAAAGCTCCGATCAAACGCAAATTCTTCGTATGATGGACGATGAAAATGGAGTATTGAATAGAGGTAAACGTAAAGGTGGTGGTAAAAAGCAAGGAAATACGAAGGAAGATAAAAGAGCGTTGCTCAAAGAGGAAACTATTGATATTGACATATCGAATGCTAGTTGAGAATGACATTAATGAGACGTATAAACAAACAATCAAAATATACATATATATATATATATAGTTGGATAGAATATTGTGTATGTATCTAAGAGTAGTTAAAATTTAGCAAAATTTTGTTCAACTTTGGATAACGAGGTGATATTAATCGAATTTAGTATAAAAACTTTATATCTGTGGTACAATAAGTGTCCTGTAATTGTTATAGGACACTTTGTATAAATAACTTATAGT